CTCTTGAAGAGACCAAAGAAAACAAGAACCAACTACGTCAGCTAATGAAATTTCCCCTCCCAAGCAAAGAGACCACTTCAACTACAGAAGAAAAATCCTTTCCTGGTGTAATAACACTTTACTTTCATAGTTAAATAGTAGATCGTTCTAGAGTCATAGTTTCTACAGTAGATCGAAATAAAATTGATCATTCCAGGGTACTGAATGTTGTTTGCTGATGATTAGTCTATAGAATTGAGAATTCGGTTTAAAATCTGCTAGCTTTTTATCTTGTTCGATCAATAACTTGTTAGATCATTAACTTGTTAGATCAATAACTTTTTAGATCAATAACTTTTTATCTTGTTCGATCATTAACTTGTTAGATCAATTACTTTCTAGATCAATAACTTGTTAGATCAATAACTTGTTAGATCAATAACTTTTTAGATCAATAACTTGTTAGATCAATAACTTGTTAGATCAATAACTTGTTAGATCAATAACTTTTTAGATCAATAACTTTTTATCTTGTTCGATCATTAACTTGTTAGATCAATTACTTTCTAGATCAATAACTTGTTAGATCAATAACTTGTCAGATCAATAACTTGTTAGATCATTAACTTGTTAGATCAATAACTTGTTAGATCAATAACTTGTTCGATCATTAACTTGTTCGATCATTAACTTGTTAGATCAATAACTTTTTAGATCAATAACTTGTTAGATCAATAACTTGTTAGATCAATAACTTGTTAGATCAATAACTTTTTAGATCAATAACTTGTTAGATCAATAACTTGTTAGATCAATAACTTTTTAGATCAATAACTTTTTAGATCAATAACTTGTTCGATCATTAACTTGTTAGATCAATTACTTTCTAGATCAATAACTTGTTCGATCATTAACTTGTTCGATCATTAACTTGTTAGATCAATAACTTGTCAGATCATTAACTTGTTAGATCAATTAGTCAGATCAATAACTTGTTGGATCAATAACTTGTTAGCTCAATAAGCTTGTTTGTTGGAGGGTTTAGGTACTAGGTTTAAGCTAATTTTGTAGCTAACTTTGTAGCTAATTTTGTAGCTAACTTTGTAAGCTAAGTTAGAGCTAAGTTTGTACAAGTTTAATGCTAAAAGAAGACACTTAAACCAAAAAAACTGGGCTCTGAATTTCTTTTGATGAAATTTAGTGATGGAGATCCAATGAATCAGGTTTTCTCATAAAAAGTTGAGTAAATTGTAAAAAATTTAGAAAGTCGAGCTTACCACTCTTGCTTTCTTGACCTTGACCTTTCTTGACCATTTTTTTCATAAACCAATTGTTTATCGAAATTCTGCAAATGCAAAATGCTTAATCCACTAGACGCAGCTTTATTTCCGTTCTTTTCTTTTGGCTTGAACTCCGGCCAAAACAAAGAAAAGAGCTTTGCGAGAGAAAGACCAACTGCGTCACCAAACACACTTTTTTGAAGCTAGCGGAGATCTTTGAAAAGCATATAAAAGTGCAACTTTTGAGTGATAGATCATCAGTTAGAAAGGTTTTTTGAAAAAAATTCATGATTTGTGATTTTTAACAGCCTTCCACCGTCACGTTTTACCTTGCAAAAGAAAAACGATTTTTACTCTTATCCTCAAATTTCTTTTTCCGAAAACCTCCGGTTATTCTTTAATTGTTTTTCTTGCAAAACTTTTTGATCACATGTTTTACGAAATTCTTTTTGTTTACATTGCGGAAGAAACCCGAGTGATAATGAAGGAATGGATAGGCGTGAGAATTTTGTCAGCAAATTTTGTCAGCACATTTTCAAGCAATTTTTTAAGCAATTTTTCAAGTCTTGTTTAGTCTTTTACATTCTTATAAATGTTTGGGATTGCTAATTGCTTATTTTTAGCAATTACAATCGGCCGATTCACTAAGCAATGACTCAGTCAGCTTCCGAAGACAAAATTGAAGAGTGAGTCGATTTGTCATTCTACAGGGTGATCGCTAGTTAGGCCTCGGCAATATTGTTAAGTTAAGCCTAGTTAAGCCTAGATCTTTATTTAAATGAATGTGTACGGGTTTGGCTATCTCTTTGTGTATAATTCAAATGTTTTTGCTCTTAAACTATCGGCATGAATCAAGTATTCTAAAGGGTGATCGCGAATTATAGCCACTCACTTCTGAGGGTGTAGCTCAATGTAGCTCAGCTCAGCTGTAGCTCAGTGAGAACTCAATGAATCCGTATGAAATTTTTGGAGGTGCTTTTTGAGTATATCTCCTGTAGCCAAGTCGATTTTCTAACTGATTGGTGCTTCTATAATCTTTATATAACCTTGCAAAGTTGAGAGTTGTGGTAAACCTGACGAAAAACCAATTTAAGGCTGAGAAAGCGTCTTTTTCTTAAAATGTTACAGATTCCTTATTTTTCGATAAATAGCATTAAATCAAAAAGAAAAAAAACTGTAATATCTTTTCAAAAATGATGTCATCAGATTTTTTCTATAAATTTTTTGAGAAGAATTTTTTGAAAATTTTTTTGAGAAGTTTAATCAAATTCGACGAAAAATCGAATTTCTATGAGGTGTTTGATCTTCCGTTTAATCTGTTTGTTCTTTTTTGTCTTAAACGTGATCAAATTCATTAAATAGCTTCAAAAACAGCTCTCAAAAATCTTAAATTGGATTTTTTGTCAGGTGTACCGTGACTCTCAACTTTGCAAGGTTATATAAAGATTCTAGAAGGACCTAGCAGTTAGAAAATTGACTTGGCTACAGGAGATATACTTAAAAAGCACCTGCAAAAATTCCATACGGATTCATTGTGTTCTCGCTGAGCTACACCCTCAGAAGTGAGTCGCTATAATCTCATTTAGCTTTGGTCAAGTCGATTTTCTAACTGATTGGTGCTTCTAGAATCTTTATATAACCTTACAAAGTTGAGAGTTGTCGTAAACCTGACGAAAAACTAATTTAAGGGTCTTGAGCGCCGTTTTTGAGTCATCATTTGAGTTTGAGTAAAGCCACCAAATAAAATTACTAACGCTGGTATTTTGAGGTTCAAGAACAAGTCTAAAAGTATAATAAATAAGCAAAACTGGTTTCTAACAAGCCCAAAGACTTTTTCAGACTCACAGAAAGCTTTTAAATCACTTTTGTTACTAATTACTAGGTTAAAATGACTTTTTAACCTTGAACACTAATGGCCTGAAACAGCAAGGCCAACTGGTAGTCTATAGAATTGAATAATACATAGAATGAAGAAAAAACTGAATGAAAACTGAACCAGTTCATGAAAAACTAGACGAGCTTTTAAGTAAATTATCTTATTTTTAAGATTTCATATCAAAATTCTAATATTTCAATAATTGTTCACCTCAATTTTGTACTTTAAAAAGGGAAAATCACTCCTCTTCCACAGAAAATCTCTTGCATCATGTAATAGTTGTGCTCCTCCTCTTCCAAGTCATTCTTTTGTGTGGTCATTGAAAGATACGTGTCCTTCTTTTTCTTTTCTTCTGTTCCCCTGTCATTCCTTCTCGAATCGTGTACACTGCATTCCTCTGTACACCGGGCTTTCTTTTCCCCTCTTTTCCCCCAATCTCTATGGTTATTCCCATTCTATCTCTTCTCATTCCGCGCCACTTTTCCCCACTTTCGTATTTCCCCGGCGTAAATGTTTGCAATGACTTCGAATTGTTGTGCAATTCGAATTTTTCTTTTTTTTTTCATAACCACGCCCCAATCAGAGCCTGGCACCTCAGAGCCGGTAACTGGGGGAATTTTCGAAACTACTTTTATGGGAAATACTTCTTCAGATGATTAGGCTTTGGTTTTAATCATAATAAGCTTATACTTTTGATTAGTAGATAGGTTTTTGTACATTGAATGTACATTAAATTGAATGTACATTATTGAATGACTAATATTATATGGTTATGTGTTAGAATAGGATTGGAAAAGATTGGAAAAAGATGCGATGACTCATCACTTCTCTTTCTCTTTCTCTTTCTCTTTTCCGCTTGTTTTTCCTTTTATCTGACTAACCGTGAGAAAATTTTTATGCTAAAAGAGTGCATTTCTTGGAAAAATCGTTCAAAAATCGTTAGGCACTTTAACCCGACGTTTGGTTCATCCCACAGCGCCAGTTCATCCCACAGCGCCAGTTCATCCCACAGCGCCAGGTCATCCCACAGCGCCAGGTCATCCCACAGCGCCAGTTCATCCCACAGCGCCAGGTCATCCCACAGCGCCAGGTCATCCCACAGCGCCAGTTCATCCCACAGCGCCAGGTCATCCCACAGCGCCAGGTCATCCCACAGCGCCAGTTCATCCCACAGCGCCAGTTCTACTTACCAAAAATGGCCCACTCCTCATTCAGGGTCACAGTTCACTCAAGAAACTGCAACATCATACCCATTGAAAGTTTGAGAATAGGTTGAGGGCATTTCGCCCCCAATTCCTCTAATCATTCGCTTTACCGAATATAACTGGTACAAACTCCTGCTATCCTGAGGGAAACTTCAGAGGGAACCAGCTACTAGATGGTTTACTAGATGGTTCGATTAGTCTTTCGCCCCTATACGCCAGTCAAACGATCGATTTGCACGTCAGAATCGTTACGGACCTCCATCATAAAGATAGTTTTTAAAGAAATCGGAATTTTTGATAAGATTTTAAGTGATCCATTCATTTATCGATGCTTCTTTGTTAGAAAGAGGGTTTTTCAAGCTTAGACAGTTATTTTTTTAGATATTTCTACTTACAGTGAACCCTGAAAGCTTGCATAAACTGCCTAAAAACCTGATTTCGGTTTTTAAATGTTTATTTTTCGATTTCCACTTTAATCATTGAACAGATTCCCACGGAAAAAGACGGAAAAATTTGTTTGCGGTTTAGGAAAAACTAAACAACAACAACAACAACAACACAACAAAACAACAACAACATGTGCTTCTTTTTCTGTTTACATGTTTTAAATTGATTGTTAAACATAAAATAAAAAGTAAAATGAGTCGAATGAATTTCAGGATGTTTCCTCGATTCGCTTTACCACGATTGGACTTTAACAACACGGAGAATCGAATTCCGACCCCGCCACCAGCCGAGGCGTCGAGCAGTGCAATCGGCAGCCCAAAGGATATTTCACAGATGTGAGTTGATGAAAATATAAGAAAATATAAGGATTTTGGTTTTTCTACCGTATATAAGTATAGTATTTCTATAGTGAAAAGCCTAGAGTAGCCTAAACTAAAGTAGCCTAGAAAAATGAATACTCTGTGATACCAAACTCAGTTTTATATTTGAGCGTATTTGAGTCGAAAACGGTAAGGCAAATCAATTTTTCTAGGCTACTTTAGTTCTTGTTTAGTAGTTAGAATATCAAAAATCAAAAGCCAAGCATCAAAATTTATATTTGTCTAGCTATTAAGTTAATTTATGAACTAGCTTTTCAAAGAAACTTTTGTACTTGTGGAAACTTTCCCCCAGAAACTTTCCCCCACAAAATCTTATCCTAAGACTCGGCACAGACTTCACGTAAGAAAGAGTTTCAATCGAACTTCAAGTCTGCAATTAAATCAATTTTGTTTAGGCTACTGTTTAGGCTTAATCCTCGGCACATACTTAACCGTTGTTCGCAGAAATCGATTGGGTTCTTGTCCAATTGGTTGGCAAATTTAGGTATTGAATGTAAATGTAAAAGGTATTGAATAGCTGAATTTGTGGGTGAGAATCTCGGACAAGTACTGAAGCTTTATAGCATAAAAAGAACTTAAACTTTATAGCTTAAAAAGAAGTTAAAAGCTTAAAAGTTTAAATAGCTTAAATAGCTTAAATAGCTTAAATAGCTTAAATAGCTTAAAAAGTTAACTCGTTGTTTAGTTGAGGATTACTGTAGCTATCTGTCTATTTCCTATCATTCTTTACCTTCGAGTTATCTATAACTCTTCATTAGCTGACTGTCATCTATTAGTAGAGCCATTGAAACACTCTGAAAAGAAAACAATTGACTAAACTCTGATCTCACTCCCGTAAATTTGATTCAAAACACCCAAAGTGCTCCTTGGAAACAAAATAAACAATCAGGACTTTTTATTTTCTTTCTTTTCTTTCTTTTCTTTCTTTTCTTTCTTTCTTTTCTTTCTTTTCTTTCAAATTCCTTGAAATCTTACATCAGAATCACGTAAATCTCGTTTTCAATTGAACCCATTATCAGAATTGTCAGTTCAATCCCATTATCAGAATTGTCAGTTCAATCCCATTATCAGAATTGTCAGTTCAATCCCATTATCAGAATTGTCAGTTCATTGAAACATTCCTCTTTTCAAGAAAGAAAATCAAACTCGATAAGTTTTTTCCATCATTTCTTTCTTCTTTCTTTTTCCTTTTCCTTTTCACTTTCCAATCAATATTGCCCCACAAGAATGAACAAGAAAAAACGGAAAAGAACGAAAAAAATTACGCGCTTTTGCCTGTCTCGGCCAAGGTCGTGGCTTTTTTGAACCGCGAATTTTTTTCGACGGGTTTAAAAGAGGGATTTAGTTCAAAGAACACTTTTCCTTCAGTTTTTTACAGTTTTGAACTTTCATTTGTACTTAGAATAACTAGAATATGCCCCAAATTTCGCTCAGCTTCCAAACTCCAAACTTTTGCACTTTCCTCAGTTTTTTTGCAATTTAGATATCACGGCATTTTGTCGGTAAAATTAAATGCATTTTGCCGTAATTCCTGGTGTGTCAATATTTCCAAAGGCTGTGAGCTACTTCACTTCCGGTCTTGAACTGACCGGGAGTGAAGCAGGACGTAAAATCTGAGGACTTACAGGCTTGTAAGTCTTGAGATTTGCTTGTTTCGCTGTTTGTTTGACGGTTTGTTTGACCCTTGAAATAAGTAGAACAATTTTTAGGCCGAAATTTCACCGCGCATCGATGGTTAATCCAAGCAAAAGGATCCAAATCCAAATCTCTTTCACTACATGCGATTTTTTGCACTTTGAAGACCAATTTTCAAAGTACTTTTACAAGAATAATGTGGGACAAAAAAGACACAAGCAAAATACCTAAGCTCCCAATGTAGGGAAAACCCATATATATATATATATATATAGATAGATAGATATGGAAAAAAGGACCAATAATCTAGCTGGCGGGATTTAATCTCTTGACTAAGCTACAAGCCATGGCGGCCAGAGACCAGAAGCTACACATTGATCTTAGCCAGAGACCAGAAGTTACATATTGATCTTAGCCAGAGACCAGAAGCTACACATTGATCTTAGCCAGAGACCAGAAGCTACACATTCCCTAGCCAGAGACCAGACGCTACACATTGATCTTAGCCGAAGAGCCGAAACTAGATATTGATATAGTGGCACGACGAAATTGGGTAAAGGAAAATTACAATCACCTTGTGAGCGATAGGCTTAATTTCAGCTGACGAATTCATTCTAGATTCATTCCACTAATCACAGATTCATTTTCTGAATTTTCTGAATTTCTGAATTTCTGAATTTGTTTACATCTATTTTTTAAAGATCATTTGCCAAAAATCTGCAAAACATACCACCAAAAAGAGGCGTTTCACCTCAAAGAACACCACCTTTTCGCGATATCTTATTTTGATCAAAAGATGGGGGAAATTTGAGAAAAAAAGAAAGAAAAAGAAGAAAAAAAAGAAAGAAAGGGAAAAAATGACTCATTCTAGGTGTTCTTTCTCTTTTTAGCCCTTTTGTCCTATGCTGGTCTCAATCTTTCCCCCTTTTCATCCCCAGTTTTTCATCCCCGCGTTTCGCAACTCATTTTTTGATCTCATCTCTACCTCTTTTTTCGGATTCCATCATTTGAAACCAATCTATTTAAACACGGATTTGTAGCTGAGAAGATTTTTGTTTTGAGTGTTGAAATGGTTTTTGTCTAGGAATTGTAGGAAACTGTAAAGCGAATCGAATAGATTTGTTCTTTCGTGTGTACTTTGTACTGAACCGTATTGGAACCGTATTGGAACCGTATCAGATCAAAATAGGAACCGTATTGGAACCGTATCAGATCAAAATAGGAACCGTATTGGAACCGTATTGGAACCGTATTGGAACCGTATCAGATCAAAATAGGAACCGTATTGCAACCGTATTGGAACCGTATCAGATCAAAATAGGAACCGTATTGGAACCGTATTGGACTTTGTACTGAAAATACCTCTTTTGGTAGTCGATTCTCTAGTTTTTTTTGTTGATTTCTTAATGCAATATTCGATATTCGAGATGAAAATGCAATATATTTCGAAATGTATTTAGTGCATTAGGAAAGCTGTGTTTCGATCTAAAAGTGGAAAAATACACTCCAAAGAACCCGACTCATCTAGAGTTTAGAGAAAAGTTTTCCTGAACACTTTTGTTTTCATTGTTTCAATTGTTTGTTTCAATTGTTCCAATTGTTCCAATTGTTTCAAGTAAAGCGATATTTTGCCCCTAAGGGTTTTTGGCTACGGGGATTCTGACTTTTAGGTTCATTTTTAAAAAGGAGCCGGACTTAACATGATTAATACTAGTTTTATTAGGCTGAGGAAAAAGTTCTGACATAGCTGCGAAAAATTCAATTTTTAGCTGGTTTTTCGTGCTTTTAGGGTTGTACCAATGTTGATCTTTGTATTCCAGATGAATTTGCAAGAAAAAGAGTCATTTAAAGAAGTTGGAGAAGCTTACCAAGAGCTTTTTGATTCGAAACCTGAGTGGTACTTCGGCCAGATCCAAAAGCTTGCAGATCGATGGCAGAAAGTCGTAGATAATGATGGGTTATACTTTGAGAAATAATTGTTGTTATTTTTCTTATTCAGTGCACATAAAAATTGAATTTTTCGCAGCTGAGTCAGGACTTTTTCCTCAAACTATTGGGTTGATGGAAAAGTCCTTTCCGATTTTTTGGGAGAGTACCTTAAATTTGTCGAATTTTGACGTTTTATAGCTCATCCTAAAGCTGAATTCAAGACGGATCGATTGGTAAAAACCGTTTTGAGATATCTCTTTTCTAAAAGTTTTTACAGCTATTTTAGTAAAGGGCAGCAGAGCCAAAAATGGCTGTTTTCACGTTTTGTTAGTTTTCCGTGCAGAAACCTAGGCTAAAACGTGCAGAAACCTAGGCATTTAAGGTACTTTCCCAAAAATTCGGAAAGAACTTTTCTATCAACCCAATAGTACTCATTTGAATGGGTTGCCCGCCTCCGCAGCGGAAAACGCAAGCGAAATAAGAGTTTTCCGCTAGCTATATAGTCTGGTATACTGTAGATTTTAAAGCCTTTATCGTTTCTAGTCCTTTTTCCTTTTTGTTTAACTTTAGTGAAAGGAAAGAACTTGGATTAGAATAAAAGAATCAAAGAATCAAAGAAAATTCGAATTTAAACCACAACTAAACCTACAGGACCCTCTAAATTTACATTATTTCCAATCATTTCCAATCATTTCCAATCATTTTCAAACAATTAACATTCTATTTACAAAATAAACCTCATTTAAGCACTTTTCTCCGTCACTTTTACGAATTTGTCATCAAAGAAAGAAAGAAAGAAAGCTTTGACGAACTAAAAACAACAATTAGAATAAAAACAACAGTCAGCAGTCAGGAGACAACAAATCATGCTTTGTTTCCCAATTTTTTTAGTGAATTTCCTTCAAAAACTTTACAAATCTACTGATTTCACACTTTTTCGCAGATCAAACATTAAAATCTCCGAAAAATCAGCGTTCTATCACTCTTGATTACCCATCAAATTCGCCTAGTCGATCGCCAGCCTATGCAAATTAGCTTATGCCGAGCTAGCTTATGCTAATGCAGTTTTTGGTTCCTGTTTTCAAACCAAGAACCTCACCCTTTTCATTTCGTTTAACGTTTTTTTCTTCTTCTGAAAACTAATTTCATTTCCAGAATGTTTCTCTAATATTTCATTCAAATTTCTAAAAAATCTCAAAATCTCAAAATGCCAATGTCACCACCGAAAATCGACTTCAACTTTATCGTCGCCGAGCCGCCAAGGAGCACTTATTTAGAGACAATGTTTGTTAGAGATGCAAAAAAATGAATATTTAAAATCAAAATCGAAACAAACTCGAATTTAAATCGAAATTCAAGTATAACTTTCAGTGACTACATTCGAAAATTCATCTCCGACCGCCTCGTTTTCCCTGAGGAGGGCGTCTCACGGCAATTCACCTATGATGATTTGGAAGAGGTCTGGTGTTGGAGATTCTTAAGTAAAAGGTCTAAGCCTAAGCCTAAGCCTAAGCCTAAGCCTAAGTCTAAGCCTAAGCCTACTTAGCCTAAGCCTAAGCCTACTTGTCCTAAGCCTAAGCCTAAGCCTAAGCCTAATCCTACTTGGCCTAAGCCTTAAGCTAAACTGAATAATTTTAAAGTAATTGTAAATTCAGTTGTATTAGTTGTAACTCTGATAATACAAAATAGCAAAACTTTTTGGAAAAAGTGACTTTTAAAAATGATGGCTGAATTGAACTGAGATCTAGTTTGTAACATTTGAAAGAAATATCTTTTCTCAATCAAATCGCTTTTAAGAGATTTTGAAAAGCTTTAGTTGACAAACTAAAAGAATATGGTTAAAAGATAAGTAATGCAATAATGTATCACAGGGTGTTAAAGACATTAAACAAGTCATTAATAGCTTCCGAAATGAAAAGAAGTGATTGAGAAATTGAGAAAAAACTTCAAAAGCCATTCATTCGCCCTTGATTTCGTGCATTTAACATTTGTAAAATCAATTTTTAGTGAAAAGTTTGGTTATTTAGTTGACAAACTAATAGAATATGGTTAAAAGATAAGTAAATTTACAGTAATCTGTCTAACTACGCGTACACAGTAGCGGAATGTAAAGCATTTAAGCGATCCAGTCTAAAAAGAAATTCTAAACCCGAAATTCTAAAGAAATTCTAAACAAATGCCAAAAATAAACTGAAGCTGAATAAGAATAAGAAAAATGTGTGAAGAACAAGGAATGAAAGTAGATTTAGATTCTAGATATTTTGATTTCTAGCTATGTTTAATATTTTTAGCTCTGTTTCCTCGGTCAGGGCACTTTCGGTCGAGTCAGCAAGATGGTGCATCGACAGACCGGGAAAATCATGGCTGTAAAGGTAAAAGCAGCGTACAAATTTTAGCTTAAAGCTTAAAGCTTTAGCTTAAAAACGAAAACGCTAGGATTTTAGAAAGTTCGTTTGCTCACAAATCAAGGAAACGAGCAAGAAACGAACAAATCGATGCAGAGGCTGAGAATCGAAGTCGAAGCGATCAAAAAGGCGAGCAACTGCGAGCAAATCGTTCAATTCTTCGGAGTCACCTTTCATGAAGTTCGTTTTAAAAGAAATTATCTTAAAGAGATTATCTTAAAGAGATTATTTTAAAGAGATTATCTGAAAGAGATTATCTTAAAGAGATTATCGTAAAGAGATTATCGTAAAGAGATTATCTTAAAGAGATTATCTTAAAGAGATTGTCTTAAAGAGATTATCTTAAAGAGATTATCTTAAAGACTCTTTAAAATCAACGAATATTGTAATTTTGATTGTAATTTTTACAATTTTCGGGCAACTGCTGTGTCTGTATGGAAATTATGGACTGCAATCTCGAATTCGTTTACAAAGCCGTTCACGAGTCATCGAATTTCAAGTTTTTCGATGAAAAAGTCCTTGGATCGGTGGCTGTATCGGTGAGTTTTTTTTTCTTTTGAAAAATCTAAAGCTAAAATCTAAAGTTTAAACTTTAAAAGATGGCAAATTGATGGAAAAATTTACAGACAATCAAAGCGTTGGATCATTTGAAAAACGAGATGCACATCATTCATCGAGGTTCGTTCTTTGGCTTAGATTTCTGAGAGTGAGGTTTACTTTGTGTTCAACCGGTGGAAACACATCTTATCTGGTGCAGGGAATTGATCTAGACATGGGTACTATAAAGTTGACGAACGAAAAGTTGGCAGTTAAAAAATGACAACCTGTCACACTACAAAAGCTTTTAACTTGCTTTATAACTACCGGATTGACATGATCTATAGCTCAAAAGATAGAAAATCTCAAGAGCTTTCGAATGAATTAGAGTAGAGCTAAAACTCTCAATGCTAAAGAAAGTTATAGTAGTTTGTAGCCTGACGGACCGTACTTGTAGTCAAAGCGATTGAGTCAAGACTACAAACCTCAAGAGCTTCCGAATGGATCAGTACATCTAAAACTCTCAATGCTAAAGAAATTTACAGTGGTTTGTAGTCTTGACTCAATCGCTTTGACTAAAAGTACAGTCTGTCAGACTACAAACTACTATAACTTTCTTTGGCATTGACAGTTTTAGCTCTACTTTAATTCATTCGGAAGCGCTTGAGATTTTTTATCTTTTGAGCTATAGATCATGTCAATCCGGTAGTTATAAAGCAAGTTAAAAGCGTTTGTAGTTTGTAGTGTCCATTTCTAAACTCACCCGTTTTTCTGTTGTTGTTTTTGACACTAGACTCAGATTTTTTTGAGAACAAAGCCATCAAAGAAAGCGTGACCTCAAAGCATTAGTACTTTTGCTTTTACAATGAAATTTTTCAGATGTTAAACCCTCAAACATTCTGTTGGATCGCCGCGGTTTAATCAAATTGTGCGACTTTGGGATCTCCGGGTATTTGGTGGATTCAATCGCACAGACAATGGATGCCGGATGTCGTCCTTATATGGCTGTAAGTTGAACTAAACAGTAGTCTAAAGATAAGGATTGAATTCTATACTTAATTCTAAATCCAAGCTGTCAAATATTTCGTTCATAGTCGGCTTTTCATTTCAGCCGGAACGCCTCAACTTCGCGAAAAAAGGCTACGACATTCGGGCTGACGTCTGGAGTCTCGGAATCACGATGGTAAGTCAGATTTTCGAATAAAAACTGATTGATCTGATTGATCTGATTGATCTGATTGATCTGATTGATCTGATTGATCTGATTCATCTGATTCATCTGATTCATCTGATTCATCTGATTGATCTGATTGATCTGATTGATCTGATTGATCTGATTCATCTGATTCATTCGATTCATCTGATTCATCTGATGCATCTGATTCATCTGATTCATCTGATTCATTTGATTCATCTGATTCATTTGGTTCATTTGATTCATCTGATTCATCTGATTCATTCGATTCGTCTGATTCATCTGATTCATCTGATTCATCTGATTCATCTGATTCATCTGATTCATCTGATTCATCTGATTCATTTGATTCGTCTGATTCATCTAATTCATTTGATTCATCTGATTCATCTAATTCATCTGATTCATTTGGTTCATTTGATTCATCTGATTCATCTGATTCATCTGATTCATTTCTTGTTTTTCTATTGTGAATTGTAAAATTTAGATTGAGGTGGCTACCGGGAAATTCCCGTTTCCAAATTTCCTCAACCTTCCCCTTTTCGCTCAATTGAATCTCGTCGTTCACGGCGATCCTCCACTTCTCATCACCACCAATTATGAGCCGCTTACGATCAATTTCGTAAATGGATGGTTAGTTTAATGAAAAATCATTTAATTAAGAAATTTATGATGGAATTTTATCGAATTTCACTTGATAGAATGTATTTTGAATTTTGAATTTTGTATTTTGAAAAAATCCGGATATTTTGCACGGGTCGTCACGCTTTGAACGCCTATAACTTTGTCCAGAAATAATATTTTTGTTAACTTTTTGTATCATTGTACAGAGGACATTTCAGTCTTTCAAATCATACCAAATAGAGCTTGGCGGGATTTTTCATTCCGATGTAAATCAGGCGAGACGACACCCGAGTCGGATAGGGCTCATTTGCTCAGAGTTGGCTCTGGTTTTCATGGAGCTGAATTATCTAATCAAGCTCTATTTGGTATCATTTAAAAGATTGAAATGTTCTCTGTATAATGATACAAAAAGTTAACAAAAATATGATCTCTGAACAAAGTTATGGACGTTCAAAGCGTGACGACCCGTTTAAAATCCCCGAAAACTGTGCAAGAGCCAAAACTTGATTTTCAGTTTGATCAAAGAGGCGGAAAGTCGACCGAATTTCACCCAACTTATGGACACGGATTACTATCGAAAATACGCGAATTTGAAAGATTTCGCTCATCTCGTTGCTGACTATGTGAATTTAGCAATGAGCTCAACAAATCATTGATTGATTTATTACAAATCATTGATTGATTTATTACAAATCATTGATTGATTCAACAAATCATTTGATTTTTGAAACATTCAGCTTATTAAAAAATTGAATTTGCTAGATTTTGGCTGAAATTTTTGATAAGCTGAATATCTATAGGGTTTAGTTATCTCTTTCTTAAATTAGCATATAAAGACGAAGAGCTTTCTTATGTATAAATGTCTTTTTTTACAACGGAATTGTGTAATATTCAAATTTTTCATTGTATTTTGGTTTTTATCGACTTTATCGAGCCATAAACAAAAGCCACTTGGCACAAAGAAGAAAGAAGCACAAAGAAGCTTTCGTTTGTGGCCGCTTTACCCGGATTGCCAAGAGTTTTATGTGTTTTTGATGTTATGTTTGGTTTTAAAGGAGTTTCCTAAAATTTTCCTGAAATTTTCCTGAAACACTTCGGTGCCATTTTTGTGATTTTTCCTTTTTCCTTTTTGATTTTAATGAGATCCAAGTGTACTTTGTGCTTTCGTAAACGCACACTAGCTTGTTTGTTTGCATTGTTTGCAAGAGCACAAAGTACAGAAAGAATCCCTATAATGTTTGTTGATTGTTGATCAAATATGTTGATTCCTTTTTTTTTTGTTTTTTTGCCCTTCCATGCATTTTAGGGTCATTCCTGCCCAAAAATAATTCCCTCAGTGAAAAAAAAGCCGCTAAATCTCCGATTTTCGCTTCTCAATATGTTTTTTTTGGTAATTTTTGGTAATTGATTGCTCAAAATTCTAAATTTTTGGTAAAAAAAAGAAAACTTTCAAAATTTGTTACCCTTGTGATGATTATGTCTTTTTCTTGAATTGTACAACAGCTGTCACCTCGTTTTGTGTTGTCACCTCTTTCTAGTTTTGTGTACTTTCGATAAATTTTTAAAAGTTAACAAACTAAGCAAACTAAACTTTTGATTTGCACATTTCATCTCATTTCATCTTCTCCAATTGGTCCAACTTTGATCGACTTCGGGAAATCATCGATTTGATCGACCTCTTCTCGATACAAGTATTTCAACTCAGTGAATATGCGTCGAACAGAAGCACTTGTACTGTACAAACCTAGAGCTAATAGATTGTAAGAGATACCGTAAATACCGTAATAGTACCCCACCCCCTTCGTACAGTCGCGTAGTCGCAAAAGTTTTTTAGTATTTCATTTTTTTCAAAGCGCCCGTACTTTCAAAAAATGCGTCTTTGGTATCAAAAAATAGCTGAAATTCTGGGCTATTTTTTGATACCTAAGCGCACATTGTAGCATAAACCAGTGTCGAGAAAAACTCGTTCAAAGCTAGACTACGCAACACTTCGCACCCTCATTATGCGGGTGGGGTACTATTACAGTATTTACGGTAGGTACTTTATTGAGGACCGAAAATAAAGTGCGCTAGATTTAAGCTTAATACACATGAATTCATACGCATAACACGAAAAGGGCCGATAAAAAGCAACACGATAAAATGTATGTAATATATGGCTAGCACAGATAACTCAAGATCAAGGTAGATCAAGAATCCACTAAAGCTTCAAGATCAAGATCATCTACAGATAATTTAAAAGTTTCGAGACTATTGGACTCTCTCAAAACTCTGGGGAGTCGATTCCAAATTCCAAATCCAAATACTGGCAGTCTTCATTGGAAAAGAGTTTTACACAAACTTATTGGAGGTGACTGAAATTTCTAAAACGAAAGAACCTCTCCTTGAACTAACCGTGGGGATTAACTTTGAATAAACCTCGAAAAAGAGGGACAGGTTGCCTGCCCTTTACAATTTTGAAACATTCTATTAAATCCGTGACCAAGCGGTGTCTAAGAGTGTCTAAGAGGTGTCTAAGGGATTTAAGATCAAAAATGTTGAGTCGATCTGTCTAACTAAAGTATGCAAATTTGGAAAAGTCTATTTTCCATGAAGCTATCTTAGTAGATCTCTGCTGGATTTTTTCTAGGTGAGAGATATCAACTTGCGTATGTGGAGACCAAACTATAGATGCATACCCTAGAATGAAATTTTGGCGTATCAAAACCAACGTATCAAAATCAATTATCAACAAAACTTCAATTGTTATTAGTAAGAAAATGTTGAGAAAAAGTTATGGTTTAGTTTTTCTTCAAAAGTTCGTTCGAAGAACGTTCGCCATTTCAGATTCCTCAACGCAAAAGAAAAGGAATTTCGGTGAAAGACTTAGTGCTCAACCTAATAATAGATAGTCAGAGACAGATCTAAACAGCAAACTGCAAATCTATTAGGTTCTTCGGATATAAACTGCAAATCTAGTTGCACTTTGTTCATCTCTCAATGTTAATACTAAAAACCTGTCATTACCATAGGAGTTGTCGTGCTTTTCAAAAGTTAGCACATTTGAGAAAACGAATAACAAACTCTAGAGAACATGGGAAATGTGTTCTATTGTTTTTATTGTTATTCTATTGTTCATTGAAGCCACTTAAAACTCACTCACCAAACAAATGAGTCCTATCGAGTAGATGAGCTTCCGTTTGGTTTTCCTCTAATTCTAGAAAACTAAAAACACCAAAATGAGTAATAATAGAAAGAAAATAAGCACTAACTTGGTTCCATAAAGTTTAAAGTTGTGATTAGCTCGAATTTCTTTTGCTATAGTGCCCGTGAAGAAACCGTCATCCACCTAAAATTTGCATTTTTTTTATTTCCATTTAAATATTTTACTGAATTGTAGTATTGATGAGTCTCAGCTTGTTGAATGAGTTCTTGGCAGAGATCGTTTGACTGAAATGATAGCTTGGACATTGAGTTATAGAGTAGAGTAGATCGATCTAAGTAGAGTAGATCGACCATCTAAGTAGATCGACTTTTTCGGGTAGGTAATCTAACTTTGACCCAGATTTTCTCTATGTTTTTACACTAGAGTATACAAAATAAATTGCACTTTTCTATAACCAAATTTCATAAGGATCATTTTGAAACCAACCCCAAGTCGATCTGATAATTGGAAGTCGAGTTTTGGAATAAAACAGACAAGAAATGTTTTGTTTTATTGAATTCACAATTTGTTTTATTGAAAAAAAACAGTACTTGAAAAAGCGCGGGTCCAATGCAACAGTCTTCCCATCGCTCTGAAGGATGAGCTTCTTTTGAGACATACCTGAACACTAAAGAATATATATTCCGCTTACTGAACTGAATTGAACATTTCCTGAACTAACAATGGAACGTAAACTGCCTGAGCCAAATGCTCTACACCATTCGACGCAGAATTTTATGCTGATTCCGAATATATATTCCGTTTTGTCAATCTGTCAATCAATCATGTCAGTGTCAATTAAATGCCAATCTGTCAAGAGTTATAAGCGTCTAAAGTTTTGTTCTGATTCTGAAAATGTCTTGGGCCTTATTCGCAAAATTCGGGTCTTAACGGCCTCCTCGCAGTCTCGGCTAGATGCAACCGTGGCCGAGTGGTAAAGCGTTCGTCTCTAGACCGGCACCTCACCGGTTCGATCCCCGGTGGATTTTTCTTTTGCTTTTTTCAAGAAGTGTTGACTAGTGTTTATAGACTTCTAGACCTACAATCAAAAAGAACTTATAGACTTACAATCAAAGCATATTTCTGTTTAAATCAAAGCATATTTCTGTTTAAACCCAAGCAAGTAACAAGTTGAATACATTCTATAAAATGGAATTCATAGAATTCATAAAATGGAATTCGTAGAATGGGTAACCACCACCGCTCAGTATTGAGGTTGCTTGACTTGGGTATTCTAACTTTTTTTGTGACCCAGGCCTGCATTAAAGCCAGACCAGGCAAGGCTTGATCAAGAAAAAGTGACTTTTGAAAAACCTCTGTCAGAACTAACCACGGGGAACTCTTATCTCTGATCAGATCCAATTTCATTCCTTGAAGACAAGTGAATGTTCGATTTCGACTAATCTTTCCTTGCTTTATATCATCGAAAAGCCAGAAGATATTGCCAACAACATCATCTAAAACATCATCAACATTTTAGAGCAAACTTCGAGCAAAGAATTCCTTTACCATCCAGTTTCACAATGAGCTCAACATCTTTGCAATTCTCTTGCAAGTAGCGCATCCAGCTGATGTACTTTATTAAGAGATGATTTGTAAAATGAAAGTGGTTACCTTTATTGTCAAATTTCGATATGCGTCAACAAAATCTGCCTGCATAATATCGTTGTACTTTTCGGCTTCTTCCAAAATCTTTTGTTCCGATTCAATCGTTTTTCCTCGTCCAACCACGAAGAGGGTTCGATAACCGAACTAGAAATCGACGCTACGTTCGATAGGGTTCGATAACCGAACTAGAAATCGAAGCTACAAACTACAAGATCAGACTACAGACTACAAACGTCTTGTAGAAACGCATAGAATGGCTATTTTTACAAACCGTTTCTACCAAAAAATCGAGCAAACTTTGGACTTTTGAATGACACCAAGATCAGGCAAATCCACCATCTCTGTGTTAAAATATAACGTTTTTCCCAGTAGTCCTATCTCCTATGTAGTCCTATTTCATGGGAGGAGACTACAAACTGCTATAAATAGCACATTCTCGGTGATAGCGATGATGAATTGATCTGATCTTGGTGTCATTCAAAAGCCCAAAGTTTGCTCGGTTTTTTGGTAGAAACGGTTTGTAAAAATAGCCATTCTATGCGTTTCTACAAGAGTTTGTAGTCTGCTCTTGTAGCTTGTAGCGTCGATGTTTAAACCGAGCTGAATTCAAGGCATGCTCAGCTGATTGACATGAAACACATTCAGCTCTGAAGATCGAGTCAAAGTCAGTTCAAACTCAACTTGTTCTGCACAATCGGAACAGAATTCTACAAGAAAAGATTTAACAAAAAAAAAACGCTTTGGTTCTATTCATGCTCTCTTCTTGAGCTCTATTCATCTCAATTAAGAATATTAAGAATTTTATCAATGTCTTGTAGATCCTCGATGAATTGAACTGAATCGACAAAGCTTTAAATACTCCTCACAAGAGCTGTCCATTTTCTGTCTGATTGTCAATAGGTGTACAACGGAAAAACGAGATTTGACCATTTCAATAACAACTTTTTCACTGGTTTTTCAGAATAAAAGTTAGAATTTGGAAAATTCTACCTTTATGTGACAAGAATTCCTGAAAAAGTAGCCGTTGAAGTGGTCAAATCTCGTTTTTCCTTTGTACACCTACAGGCAATCAGAGCGAAAATGAATAGCCCTCGTCTTTACCTTATTTTCCCATCTCGAATGCGCGTATGTTTCTCGAATTAGCGCTCTTCGGCCTTGATTGATGATCGTTGTGTGCACGACGAATAGCGTCTAAATGGTGTTGAGCCTAGTTTTGTTCTGGTTTTATTCTGGGTTTTGTTCTGGTTTTGTTCTGGTTTTGGTTCTGGGTTTTGTTCTGGTTTTGTTCTGGTTTTGTTCTGGTTTTGTTCTGGTTTTGTTCTGGTTTTGTTCTGGTTTTGTTCTGGTTTTGGTTCTGGTTTTGTTCTGGTTTTGTTTTGGTTTTGGTTCTGGTTTTGTTCTGGTTTTGAAATAAATGCCCCATCAAAATTCCATCGGAAACTTTACTTTCACTGTCGGCAAGCACAAATCTTTTGGGACGATTGTGAAAGGAAATCGTCGGTAATACTGAAAACTTGAATTGAAAAGCGAAACTAGCTGACCAACCGGATGGGTTATTGTCTCATTTCCCGCATTTTCGGAGATCTCTAAAATCCCAAACTTTCTTGCATTACAATTACAACAAACCTTCTGCCTTTGTAGTGATTAAAATTGAAATAAAAGTTAGTAAAAATGTGCCCAACCGCAAGACAAACATTTATGATTATTAATGGTTTAATTAATTTAATGATAAAGTGATAAAGTTTTAGTTTTTATCATTCAAATTGAAAAGAAATGCTTTTTTTGAGAGAAATACTAGGTTTGTTTGTCGAAGAAAATGATAAGAAAATGATGGAAAATGATGGAAAAGAGATAATATTTGATCAGTCAATTATGGCATTGAAAGTCTACCTGAGAAATAGACAAAGGAAAAGAGAGAAACATTCAGTGGACGAAAAAAGTAGTGGAAAAAGTGGAAAAATAGTGAATGAGGCTATTCTTTCAATAAGAAGAAGAACCACGGTTCAGCAAAGAACCACGGTTCAGCAAAGAACCACGGTTCAGCAAAGAACCACGGTTCAGCAAAGAACCACGGTTCAGCAAAGAACCACGGTTCAGCAAAGAACCACGGTTCAGCAAAGAACCACGGTTCAGCAAAGAACCACGGTTCAGCAAAGAACCACGGTTCAGCAAAGAACCACGGTTCAGCAAAGAACCACGGTTCAGCAAAGAACCACGGTTCAGCAAAGAACCACGGTTCAGCAAAGAACCACGGTTCAGCAAAGAACCACGGTTCAGCAAAGAACCACGGTTCAGCAAAGAACCACGGTTCAGCAAAGAACCACGGTTCAGCAAAGAACCACGGTTCAGCAAATCGACGAGTAGATGATGAAAATCCATGATGATGAAGTAGAAGCGATGAGTGAGAGATTTGGAGAGAACTTGAGTGAATTTCGAACTGGAGTGATGTTGATTCAAATGGTAAGCAATTTTTGATATATAGTTATTTAGTTAAAGTTAATTAAGAGTTTAAATTATTCCTTTATACATATTTTATGGTTTTTCTGTTTGTTTTTGTTAATTTTATTTGTTATTTATGAGTTAATTTAGGTGTCTGCCGATCAGTGTCGATGCCGATCTCTAAAGAAAGCTCAAGGATTTTCGAGATTCAAATTAAATTTTCCAATTAATTTTTATCATTTCTAGCAATAAATCTAACAAATAAACACGAAATAAATAAATTTCCTTGCAAAAAAATTTTTTAGTGAGCATCGGCCACGATTGTTACCCCCTCCCCTTTAAAATAACATTGGCTCTCTGGAAAAGTCGACCTAAATTGTCTATATCTACATTCTGCTTTTGCGAAATATTATCGCTTTCTTTGAGTTTAATCGATAAGAGAGGGTTTTGGGTGAAAAACTAGAGGAAAAACGGAAAAAGAAAGGGTGAAATTGAAAGCAGAGTAAATTAACTAATTTGCATTTATCCAGTGGTCAACCAGACTTTCTACAATTAGATATTTTTTAACCAAATTATTCAAATTTAACCAAGAGAAGCTCATTCTACTGCTGAGAAAGGGTTTTGATCTCGTTTGACTTGGATTACATTGCGAATTACCGTATTCTCTACTAGTGATACTAGTGCACCCTGAGCGTTCCCTCAATTCCTCGAAATCTCGAGAACCGCTTATCAGAACCTATCGATGTGGGGTCAGTTCAGTGAAGTAGCTTAGAGCGTTTGAAAATATTGACCTAGACCAGACTAGACCAGACTAGACATTCATCGATATGTTTATAACATTTATAACATTCATCGAACAACGTTTCTATCGTTGGAAATTTATGAAAATGTTGAAATCCGCATTTCTTATGCATTTACCTAATAGTTTAACCAAAAAAAATCTGATTGGTCACTAAAATTTGGTTATAAATCACTAAAATAAATCAAAAACTAGATAAAGTCATAGTTTTTTGAGCTTTATTCTCTTTATTTTGAGCTCTCACGATTAGATACCTAGGTATGGCTAGGAATTCACCTGGCAAACATTTATACTCAAAAATCTTTGTGCAATCAACTAAGTGAGATAAACGAATCCAGTTTTGCGAGAAAACTAAATCACAAAGTAAATTCAAAATCAAAAAGGATTCAAAATCATGAAATTCGATTTGAAATCTTTAAATAAACAATGTAAATCTCAAAGATTACATTCAAAAGATATGATAATATGAAAGAAATAAGAAAAACAAAATTCTTTATGCTTTCATGATTGTTTATTCTCATTTCAAACGATCCAGCAAACAATTATACGAGCAAATGCATAAATTTGTTGGATTTGGCGGCGATTTTCGCAAATGACGAGGCGTTGAGATCTTTGTTTGTGAATACCAATAGAAAAAGAAACAAGAGAGAATTTTGATAGTGAAGAGAATGATCACAAAAGTCCATTCCCAAGAGGATAACATTCGTTTCTTTTTCGTGGTTTCCTCGAAGATTCAACTAAAAGCCCGTAATTACTTGAATGAATCATTTTTATTGCACATTTAGTACTGGCACTTTTTTCGCTCTATATTTCCAGCAAAATTCTTATGAAAACTAAGCTAAAAACTAGATTTTCAGTGGGTTAACTAAGAAAATTCCACCAGGGTCTTCAGTTCGTCGTCACCGAGTTCAACAGGACGGCCACGGCCCGGCCACGGCCACGGCCACGGCTACGGCCACGGCCCGGCCACGGCCTTCGAGATCAAAATCACGAGCTCGGAATTTTCGGAACCAAGTTCTGTTGACTCGCCTGTTGACTCGCCGACACTGCCTTGACCCCAAACTTTGTTAATGTTACGAGCCGTTTCAGGTTAACTTTCAGTGGGTTAACTAAGAGAATTCAGTGGGTTAACTAAGAAAAAATTAACGGTAGATCTGACTGAACGATTCTATTGGGTTGGTGAATTGAAAACTGCGGGACTTTGAACTAAAATTTATTCAACACAAAACCATGAATTCATTCCAAATAATTACCATTATTATTGATTATATTAGTGCTAGATTGGTACAAGTGGCACACACTATTCGATTAAAAATCACTTGGAATCAGTCGCTGATCCTTGGGATAGAACAAAGCCAGTCTTGTTGAATTCTTGACCAATAATCTACTATAGTTGTTACGTCCGATCTAGGAATCCGTTCAATCTAGACTGATTCTAGATAGGACGTCCGATCTAGAATCGTCTGGATCGTCTAACTCTGGATCGGATGTCTAGAGTGAAGTGAGGTCCAATGTCTGATCTAGAATCAAGCCGATCACTCTAAGACAGGCATCCGATTCAGAGTAAGATTTAGAGTGATCTAAATCTTACTCTGAATCGGATGCCTGTCTTAGAGTGATCGGCTTGATTCTAGATCGGACGTTGGACCTTAATTCACTCTAAATCGAACGTCCGATCTATTGGGTTGGTGAATTGGAAACTGTGGGACTTTGAACTAAAATTTATTCAACATAAAACCATCTATTGATTCGAAATAATTTCTATTATTATTGACGACTTCTGCCCATTTTACAGGCAATTTGCGAATTCCTCTTTCGTAGTAGGATTTTGGTTTGTGTGTGAGACAAGTGTGAGACTCAAAAATGAAGGACTGGAGATGTCCGATAGAGAGTTTGAGCACTTTCTTCAAAAGAAACCCATTTCGGTGTCAATAGAAAAGTTGTAGAGAATCAAAAATTAGGCTTATAGCCAAATTTCCAAAAAGATACACTTAGTAGTTTCGCTTGAAATGCAAGTTTTGTGAAAATTCGTTGGCATTTCTTGAAATTGGCATTTTTTCAAAACCAGTTTTTGAATCGTTCTGAAAATTTGGATATAGGTTTGATTTTTGATTCTCTACAACTTTTCCATTGACACCAAAGTGGGTTTCTTTTGAAGAAAGTGCTCAAACTGTCACATATGACAATAGCCCGCAGTTTTCAATTCACCAACCCAATAGCATCGGTACCGATTGTCTGCATCGTTCATCTAAGTCCGTTATTACACGTTATTCGTTAAACTCTGAACAATTTCAGTAAAGAAACCTTTTTATGGAGATTTTTAGCTATAAAAACTATTGCAAAATTCAATATTCAAATTTATCGGCAAAAAGAATAAAGATATTTAACAAAAATGCTTTGCACAAACAATGAAGTTCTCTAGATTCTCTAGATTTGGTGATCTAGAGAACTTAATTTCTAGAGAAATCTAGATCTAGAAATATAGAAAACTTCATTTCTAGAGAAATCTAGATCTAGAAATCTAGAGAAAACTCTACCTTATCCAGAGAATTGATCAAAAAATGATGAAAAGTTAAAAGTTATTGAAGCGTTCAATGAACAGAAGAAATTTTCCCTCAAAATCCGAAGCCTTTCCAGCAAAAATGTAGCAAATTGGATGAGAAAAATGGGCCAAAATGGCCAGAAAGAGGTGAAATGATGAAAAGGCCCCTTTCCGCACTAATCCCCTCATTTTTTTGGGTTATTTGATTGGAAATAATATTGAAAAAATTGAAAAAACCGATTTGAAAGAGATTTATTTCACAATCATTAGACATGACAAGAGGAAATCTTCGAGAAATCGGGTTTTTCCTGGAATTAGAAGTTTTCCCTATAGAAGTCTTTCTTGAAAACAAGAATTTGGAAACAATTTTGAAATTGATAGTGAGAATTGGGCAGAGTAGAGGTAAGAATGATGGCCAGCTGAAATCGATAAGGCTTTGGCGTTATGAATTCACGAGAAAAGAGCCGAAAAAAAGCATGTGCAATCGGCGAATCATCGAATCGTCAGGATTTACGTCAAGATTTTAGGATTTACGAAAAGGAAATGAACAGGAAGAACAAAATGATGATTTTATTGATTCTGCTGATTTTAATTGATAATTTTGTTGAGTCTCCATTGATTTTGAGGTCTAACTTTTGTTTGTTACTAATCCCCTCAATGTTTTTGGGTTATTTGATTGGAATTATTGATTGAAATATTGAAAAAGTCGCTTTTCACACTTATTAGACGTGACAAGAATAAATAAAAGTTCAAGAAACGGGGGTTTTCCTGGAATCTGGGTTTTCCTGGAAAGTCTCTCTTGAAACACTTTTAAACAAGGATTTGGGATCAATTTTGAAAGTTGATAGTGAGAATTGGGCAGAGTTGAGGTAAGAATGATGCCCTAAGAAGAGGTAAGAATGATGTCTGTTCTAGTTTGGACTAGGTTCTAGTTTGGACTAGCCAAGCTAGGCCATGTTAGAACCCAAACACAAAGGTTCAAGCCTGACTCCTGACGCCCAGATTTGCAATAAAGCTAGGCCATGTAAGGCCAGACTGACCCTGACCTGTTCCTTGCGTTTAGAACAGCCTTGACGCTGAAATTTCGCCTAGGTTCTGGAAATTTAAAGTTACTAATCGATCCATAATCTGAGTAATTTCGAGTTTCAAATGGTAACTTCTGGCATTTTCGGTTCGACCCTTGATAAATTCGCGTTTTAAATCCCTTTAAAATCGACCTTTTCAAACGTTTTTACCTTTGGATAGCATTTTACAAGCTTTATCTAATTGTTGCTGATGGCAAAAACTGTTGAGACTTCAGAAAAACGTTTGAAAAATACGGTTTTAAAGGGTTCAATTACATGAATTGTAGACCTATCGACGAACGGACTGAAGATTTTCTAGTAACTTTTATTTTAGACATTTCTAGTAACTTCTGACGCACATTTCTAGTAACTTCTATTTTAGATCGAAGCTTCAACTAAAGAAAACCTTCTAGACTTTTAATTTTCAACTTTTAATCTTTATTTTGGTGATCATTTGCAGAGCTTTCCAATCACTCATAACTGACAAACGATTGCAAACGATTGATCATCGTCTTTCGCAGAAAACAATTGTTGGTGATGGCAAAAAGTGTTGAGACTTGAGAAGATTGATAGCCTGAAACTTCAAGATTGATAGCCTCAAACTTCAGGCTATCAATCATTTTCTTGGCAAATGAAGGTAAAAAGGACCTACACTGATGAGAGTTCACAGCACGTTGTTGGCACGGTCACGTTGTTGGCAAAACAAAGGCACTAAGGCACAAAGGCTCATTCTTCACATCCTTGAAGTGTCTTTGAAGCTTTATTGGATACATTTGAATCTTTTTATTGAATAAAAGATATAATTTTGAATGAACTAGATGCAGAACAAGGGATTTGATCAAATCTTGGCTTCAAGTTCAAAGCGATTGCAAAATCTTGTCGAGCTTTCCAATCACTTGTGCCAAAATGAAAATATACCCTTATGTAAGTCTATAAAGCTTATTTTAAGCACTTTAAGCACTTCAATCACTTGTTTTCCAAAGCCAAATGGCTGACTGGTTAGTCTTGTCTACTAATCAGTGGATCAAGAGTTCGGCTGGGAAGAAAATTGCTTCTTTTTTCCCATTCCAGGTTTTTCTTTACACTTTTCTTGGTGAAAGGGGTTGAGAGTGATGTGTTGAGTTTTTTCTATTCTATTGTTGTTTCCTACATTGTTTCTGTTGAAGAAATGTATTTTTCAAAGTCTCTAGGTCAGACTTTCCCTTATGGAACGATTTTTGAATGCTAAAAAACTCTAAAAGTTATATCTTACAAATTGCTCTCGCACTCGCAACACATCACTCTCATTGAGGCGATTATTTCAAGCATTAATCTTCGTAGATTGTGTCAAAGCTTTTCTCTTCAATAGATCTTCAATTACTCAAAGTTTTTCTCTTGGTTTTTCTCTATTTCTGGGTACATTGTGTTACTCGAAAGGTTCTCAAAAACATGTGTTTCAAGGCCGTGTCGAAAAAATTATATAAATGAGGTGAAGTTTTTCCTCAATCAGCTCTCGAATGGACTCATTTAAGGTGACACTGTTCTGTGTTTTGTTTTCGCTCATTTTTTTGGTTTGTAGTTGAGAGAATGGGATCTCTCCTGAGCGATCTCCTCAGGAGATCCCATTCTCTCAACGGGGAATCAGACTTATTCTCACTCTCAGTCTCAGTCTCAGTCTCTCAAAAAGGTTTAAAGGGATCTATGCTAAGAATCTTTGAAGTTTTATGGAGTCGTTTCTACTCGGGTTTAATGGTTTAATGGTTTTCTGGGTTTAATGTCTAGATTTCTAGCTTTTAAAGTGTTCGCATTCGAATTGATCTAAAGAATTGATCTATAGAATTGATCTAAAGAATCTGCCAATGATCCTCAAGGTTCTCTCGTAGTTGAGATTTTTTCTATGTTTAATTGTATTAAATACTGATATTTGAGTATTGATAAGTGATATTTGAGTATTGGTATTTGATTACTGATATTTGATTACTAGCAAGTACTAGATTGAGCTCTCTTGTGAGAGCTACGGTCGCCATTAGCTAATTCCTAAATCCAAGCATTGCTGCAGGCCTGGTTCACGACTTTAGGGAAACACTAGAAGTTGAACATCTCGTTTGGTACTATGAGAACGATTCTTTTATCCAATTTCAGTTTTATTTGTTTGATTTATATGTTATGCTTGACGGTTTGATGACAAGTTTCCCCAGAAACACTTTAGAATGGTGCTCGAACGTGTGCCCGTGTATGATGCAGCTGTCGATGTTGCCCCACTCGCTGCCCCACTTCGATTTCGATGTGGAAAGATGACTCTGAATCGAACACTCAAAGTAACCAAAACACCAAGACACCAAAAACATCAAAAACATCAAAAACTCTTTGCAGACTGCAATGACAGAGAAATTGGCCACATTCTCGGATGACTTGACTGAAAGAGGAGTTCCGACCTGGCAACTCGTGAATCTCTATGAGAAGTTTGGACACGGTGGATGGGGGATCATTTCAACGGGGAATATCATGACTCATCCAGTAGGTTGATTTTAACTTCTTTACACCCTAGAAACTTTAGACCAATTTGGAAGCAGCTGGGAATATTGTGATCTGCAAGGAGAACTATTCACCCGATCTTGTCGCAATGCTGAGAGAAATGGCCGAAGCTGGGAAATCGACTGGATCGTTGATGATCGGACAGCTTGGAAATGTGAATTTTAGCTTACAATTAGATTTGTGGCGGTAAACTAGACCAGCGTCAAGTCTAGCTCTAGTCTAGCTTCTAGTCTAGTCTAGCTTCTAGTCAAGTCTAGCTTCTAGTCTAGTCTAGCTTCTAGTCTAGTCTAGCTTATAGCTGGCAAAGTCGCCAGAGCAGGCAAGCAGTAAAAGCAAACGAATTCAGACTCAAGCTAGGCCAAAAGCTAGGCCAGAAGCTTGCCTAGATTTGCTTGCCCAGATTTTCCTTGCCTAGCTTGGTTTAGCCTAGCCTTTTAAGCTAATCTACACACATTAAAAACATTTTCTTTCTAGGCTGGCCGGCAAACCCCTTATGCAATCAATCCGAGTCCAATGTCTGCCTCAAATGTTCAATTGGTCTTTCCACCGGGTACTGGAATGAGATTCGGGCTTCCAGTGGAGTTGACAAGAGATCAGGTTTGTCATTCACGAAGAAATGTAAAAATAAAGCCTTTCCAATAGAGCCTTTCCAATAAAGTGAATAAACTTTGTTTGTTTCAAGATTTTTTATCAAAGCAAGATTATTTGAGATCAAAACCGAGGTCATCGATCGTTTCGTCTTTGCCGCAAAGGCTCTCAAAGCTGCTGGTATTTACTCAAATAAACCTACTAGCTTTTTACATATGCAAGCCTTTTTCCAGGTTTTGATGGCATTCAATTACACGCAGCTCATGGCTATCTCCTCTCACAATTTTTGTCTCCAACAACAAATCAGAGAAACGATGATTATGGTGGATCGGTTGAAAATCGTTTCCGAATCATTCAGGAAATATTCTTGGCTATTAGGTAAAGATCGTAAGCTCTTTAAAAATCAAAATTTCTATCTATTCCAGAGAATCCATTTCAGAGAATCGATTCCACCAGAGAATAAATTCATCGTTGCCATCAAATTCAACTCGGTCGAGTTCCAAAAGGGTGGCCTTTCCATGTACGACGCAAAGGAAATGAGCAAGCGGATTGAGGTTGGGAGTTTCTTTTTGAAAAGCTCACATTGTCAACAGCTTATTTTCAAAAAGTGGCTTTGCTTGGTTTGGTTGTGACTTCAAAAATAGATTGGAAAAAGAGGAGGAGACGGGGATTTCGGGGAATCGTTGTTTCCAATCTTATGATTAGAAACAACGTAGCATTTTGCTTATCTCAACTTAGCTATAATCTTTTAGATCAGTTATGTGCTTTCTAAAAGATGGAAAACTTGGAAAGCTACAGTGATCTTTCTTTGAGATTTGTTTGAGATTGTTTTTTCTAGATTTTGCTCAAGATCTCTGGCTTTTGTTCTGTTTTTCAATTCCTAATTGGGCAAGTCTGACAAATCGAAAAAAAACTATTACGGTAGAGATCTAAGCTACCCACCTTTTCAAGCTTTTCAAGCTTTTCAAGCTTTTTAGGCTTTTTAGGCTTTAAAAGGCTTTATAAAGCTTTAGAAGGCTCTATAAGGCTTTAAGACTTAAAAGACTTTAAAAGACTTTAAAAGAGTTTAAAAGACTTTAAAAGACTTTAAAAGACTTTAAAAGGCTTGAAAAGACTTTAGAAGGCTTTAAAAGGCTTTAAAAGGCTTTAAAAGGCTTTAAAAGACTTTAAAAGACTTTAAAAGGCTTTAAAAGACTTTAAAAGGGTTTAAAAGACTTTAAAAGGCTTTTAAAAGTATTCCACACGCGAAACAAACTTTCTGCCAATATATCTTATTCAATTTTCTCTTCAAATTTAGGCTCTCGGCTTTGATTTCATTGAAATGTCTGGTGGAACCTATGAGCACATTGAAATGCATCACTCGCGCGACTCGACGAGACAACGTGAAGCTTTCTTCTTGGAGTTCACTGATGAGGTATGTACTACTAAAAAAAACTATGAAATCACGCGTTTTTTGCAAATATTTTTGTGCTTAAGCCGCCGCTTTTGCCCCCAAAACTTTGTAAATATGTTATTCGTTATAAAAATAATAACGAAATACAAAAATCCTTCTACTTTTTAGTCTGTCTGTCCGATCTAATACGATCTAATACGTTTTTTGATCTAATACGGTTCCAATACGGTTCCAATACGGTTCCAATAGTCTGTCTCCAATAGAGTCTGTCTGTCCGTTCCGCTGTTTTAGAAAAAACGGCTAAACCAATCGGATTAAAAATTTGACTATTATATCCAAAAATTTATGTACTTTCCAAAAATCGAATAATATTTGACACATAACTTGACTGTTTTTTCTAAAAAGTGAAATTAGATAATAGATGCTCGCGCGTGGCCGAGTGGTAGTGTGTGCTGGCATCCGATTTGCCAAGTTGAGCAACGTTGAGCAACGTTGGGCTTCGTTAGTCTCGGGTTTGATCCCGGCTCGATGCAATCTTTTTTGCTTCCTTTGTTTTTACACTTTTTGAGTGAGGAAAATCACGGATTCGGTTTCTCTATGGGTAAAGAAATTCTATCTATCTACTATATATAAAAGAACAGGGTCCGTCCGTCCGTTTGTCTGTACGCGTGAGTTGTCGGCTGCCCTAGCAGCTGTGTTATTGGAAAATCAAGCCATGCAAGTCCAAGCTCAGCTTTTCTTGTTCTTTCCCGAAACTAACTTGTAATTTAAGATTAGACCTATTATTGATTTAACCTTTATCAAGCTGTATTTAATATATATATAACACCATCCGTCTGTCGGTCTGTCCGTCTGTCCGTGACTTTTATTCGAGCTATTGAGCTAGGCGGCTGAAAACTCCTTGATTCCGAATCTGAAGTCCGTTTGTAAAGCCTGTCATTTCCTGCCGAGTTATTCGACTTTCAAATTGACAACAGCCGCCCAATTTGCATTTCACGCCAAATTTACATTTAAGAGCGGGAATTTAATGTAAATCTTATCAAATCATCCGCGTAGCTTTTACTATATATAAAAGGCAAGTGTCTGTCCGTCCGTCGGTCTGTACGCGCGAGTCCTCGGCTCCCCGTGGGTCGATTTGCATGATTTTTCGTTTCTTAGGCTTAGAATTCTATGTAGTTGTGCATCTCAAATTTCGTTTTTTAAAAAATCAAAAGTCACGACACAGCCGAGAGTCGAACCCGGATCGTGTGAGCCGTAGACAAGCGCGCTCCCGACTGCGCCATGGCGAAAAAAAGCGGCCCAAAACATTCAGCGAGAATTTATCGAGAATTTATCATTCATTATCCCGTTTTTCTGCCCGTTGGGCGGGTTTTTTCGGCTGGTGTTCTATTATTGGATTGAAAAAATTCGCTGACTTTCAGCTCCGTCCCATCTTCAAGCGAACAAAAATGTATGTGACTGGCGGTTTCCGCACCGCTTGGGGAATGGTTCGCGCGATTGATGAGCAAGCTTGTGACGGAGTTGGAGTGGCTAGGCCGGCTGCCGCTGAACCGGGTTTATTTTGAAATACTTCTGACGCAAATATCGAACTTTAAGAAGTCGAATTATCGTTTGTATTTGCAGATTTTGCTCGGAAAATTCTTGAAGGAGAGATCCTCTCAGCGGCTGACTCAAAACTCGATCCAACCAACTTCATTCTAGCTATGATTGGTTCGTTTTCAAGGGAAAAAGAAAATGATCACAAAGAGAAGATCACAAATGATCACAAAGACAAGCGCTTCTCATTTGAACTTTGAGTTGTAGATGGAATTAATTATCTTTTAGCCGCAAACACTCAAATGGCTCAAGCCGGGTGGACATCAGTGAAGGACTGTCACGGAAAACTTTGCCATGACATCGTCGATCTTAGCGACGAGAAAGTTTTTACCAAGTGGGTGATCGCTGAAAACCATCGCTGAACACCATACTAAACATTTTGAAGTATCAAAGCCTACAGTTCTCCTTTCCAGATACATGGAAGCAGCCGCCACTTACATCGGAGAGGTCGTTCAAGCCACGGATAATGGCAAAGTGATGGCGAAAGTGTTCGAGTTCAAAGAGTTGGAGACAAAAGTTTAGAAAAGGATTCTTTTTTGTATTTCATTGCATTGTATTTCATTCATTTGCACTTGCATCGAAAATAAAACTTTTATCTCCTTTTTTACTTGCAAATGATGGATTTCATCGTCCGAAATTTGATTATAAAATTCCATAAACTGAATTCAATGAGCTACAATTCAAGGAGCTACGAAAATGTGTCGTTTTTGTGTGTCCTTGAACGATTCGCGCAAAGCAAGAGGGTCTAAGCCGCGAACGTACAAAAGATGAAACACAAAGGAGATAAAAAAGGAAGGGAAAAAGAAGGAAAAAAGAAGGAAAAAAGAAGGAAAAAGGGGAAAAGGGAAAAAGGCTGTTTCGAGGGATGAAAGGGACGATTTGAGGTGGGAGAATGCATGGAGAAAAGAAAGAAATGTATGGAAAAGATCGACAACGATTTCGATAATTTTACTGCAAAGTTTGTTTGAAGGATTATCAGTTTTCTCGTTTTTTCCTCTTCATTTCAGTCTTTCTTCACATCTAGAAATAATTGGAAGTGTGAAAAGAACAGGAAATGAATCAACTATCAATAACAACCAAGATTCGGTGTGTTTAGGAAATGACAGAGCTGTGAAATTATGACAACAGATCTATAAAAGCTTTATAGATCTTTTTGCCCGGTCTTCTTTTCGTATTCTTCACTTATTCACCATTTAGTAGAGTATTGGATTTTATTAGAAGACTATGTTCATTATCTTGTGACATTTGATACGCGCCCCCTTTGCCATTAACAATCTAACTTTGAGCTCAAATATCTTGGTGTTTGGTTGTCCAATTTCAATACTTTTTATACTAATCGATAGAGAAAGACTTGGCGAATCGAATGATACCAAGAATATTTAAATTGAACAGCCCAACACCAAGATATTTGGGCTCAAAGTTAGATTACCAATTGTAAAGGAGTTGGGAGCGTATTAAATGTCCAATAACCTATGTTCATATAGTATAGATAAAAGTGAATTAGTGACATAAAAGACTTGGAGGTTGGGTGGATACTTTGTGCGGCTCTGTGAATGCTTTGTGCTAGTCGATATCCTTAGGTAGATCGGATTTATATCCATACCCAATCCTTTCCCATCTCCATTCAGCTCCCCCGGTTTGTGCAAACAATTTAGGACTTTAGATTAATTAGTTTTTGCAATAAAACGAAGAATTGAGTACACTAAAATAGGGATTTTTTGACTTGAACACAATTTTGATCCAATGTTATCCAACAAAATATCCAATGAAGTTTGAGGCTAGTCCAATGAAGTTTGAGGCTAGTCCAATGAAGTTTGAGGCTAGTCCAATGAAGTTTGAGGCTAGTCCAATGAAGTTTGAGGCTAGTCCAATGAAGTTTGAGGCTAGTCCAATGAAGTTTGAGGCTAGTCCAATGAAGTTTGAGGCTAGTCCAATGAAGTTTGAGGCTAGGCTAGTGCGAGTGATGTGTGGCGATGGTGTTTTAGGGAGAAGAAGAGGGTTGAATAGTCGTTCCCCGAAATCCCCGTCTCCTCCTCTTTCCCTCGCCTCTTTCAATCTCTCCGATCTTCCCACTTTGATCTGATTTCGTGTCGCTTTTTCTTTCTTCCACGAAACTCTCCTTTTAGATGACACTATTTGTTTTTTTCGTGCTTTTCGTGCCTTTTCACCAACAAACTGCTGGTCTTCTTTTCATTGAAAGCTCAATGTTTATTCAGCTTGATGAAATGTTACTTTGTTACTACAATAATAATTAAATTTCAGAGTTCTAATCAATAAAATGTAGCTCCAATTGATTCCCTGACCTCGAAAACCCCCGATTACAAATTCACAGCTGAGTATTTCATGTACCATCTAAAAAGCGAAGCCATCTTTCGCGTTTCCTGTGCTTTACTATGCTCAAATGCTTGGGAAGAGCTGCTTTGCCTTAAATTTATCTATCTTTTCTACAAATTCTACATTCTGTTAAACCAAAAATAGCTAATCGAGATTGAAAGTGACTTGAAAAGCTGATTTTATCTTTTAACATTTGATAAAATTACGATAAATTATTGATAAATTGATTTACTTAAATCATTTCTACATAAAACTTCATCAAAACAATTATATTATTATGAATGGAGCAATGGAAATGCTTGATAATAGTATTCAGTACTGATCCTGGGTGATCAATAGGTTCTTTTCGGAATGGTATATTATTAAAGTACCTAGTGATCTCAAGCTTGCTTATAAAAGCTTGCTTATAAAGCTTGCTTATTGCTTATGACTTTCTATTTGTAAATGACCAACCTTATGACCAACCGACAAACGCTAGAAAGTCAGCTTACCGAGAATCAAATGGTCAAAGAAAGTTTGTTTTGTCTTTTAAAAGTAAAACTTTGTTTTCGTTTAGGAACTCGATCTTTTGGGTGATGAATCGAAGGTTTTCAAGCTGATTGGTGCCGTTTTAGTGAAGGTTGGTATTACTTTAGAGTATATCGAGTTATTACTTTTAAGGTTGAACTTGCCGAAGCTAGGAGTCAAGTAGAGAAACGACTGGAATATATTCAAGGAGAGACGTGAGTTTTGTTTAAAATTTAGAACTTGGTTTGTCTTTTGAAGAATACGTAAAAGTTGTGTACATTCATCTCTATTGACTTAGAGCGCACTAAGTTTCGCTTCTAGGTTTTTAACGGCGTATATTCTTGATTTGGTATGTATTTAAGCTTTAGTAACTGTTTTCTAGCTATTTTAAGCAGTTACCTAGGTTTAAGCAGTTACCTAGGTTGAATTAGAATTTGAATGAAGCTGCAATTTGAGACATTTGGCTTTGAATTTGACGAGAATTTAGTTCATTTTTCTTTGTTGACATGCATACATTTGCAAAAGGGACAAAAAAAGAAAAACGTGGGCGTTCACCTTAAAAAATTTACCACATTGTCTTTCTTGTTCTTTCTTCATTGTTGAATCTTTAATTTTTTTGATTTTCGATTAACAATAGCTTCCTTTTGTTTGTTTTGAGTAGTTCAATCGTTTTCGTTTTCGAGTGGCAGCTATTTGAATCAGCTATTTGAATCTCTCGGAATCTACAATTTTTCAATCAAAACACCTTTCAACTTTGTTCTATTAATATAAATGTAAATATAAATTGGTTCTATTAATATATAAACTTCAACTCAATCGAACCGAATCGAAACTTTCAACCTTTTACTAAACCTATTCATCTTCCAATTCTTTTTTTATAATTAAATGAAAACACACCCTTTCTGATACAGTGATTCATTTTCGCGTGATTCAAAATCGCTTTTTAAACTGCGTATGTGAGAACAAGGAAAGTACTCCAGTACTCCAGCTCGCCACCGCCAATCGCCAGACACCCAAGAAGTTATAGAACCGACTAAGCTGATCAAAATGTCGCAGAAATTAGCTGCCCATTAAGCCTCTCGCAATAGAAAGCAATAGAAATAGAATGAACAAACCAAAAAATTTCTTCAGTAATAATTTCAGACTTCTAGTTTGAGCGGTTCTTTGTGAAATATCACTCTTTGAACTTTGCTAAATACAGTACTGGACAATAAAATATGATATTTGAAAAAACTATCGTCACTTTCGCGCGTCTGTAACTCCCTTGTCTTTGAGTTTAGACTATTAGTGTTATACATTTTCTGAAAGCTCTTTTCAAGGGCTACACAATGGTAATATTAATATTTAGAAATACGGTAAAGACAAGGGAGTTACAGACGCGCGAAAGTGACGATCTTTTTTCAAATATCATATTTCATTGTCCAGTAGTGTATGTGAACGCTTGAATTTCGTGATTATCTGATTACCCTGAAACACTTTCGAAAACCAAAACCAAACTGTTTTCTGTCTATCATTGCTTTTTTCGTCATAGTAAACTAAAAGCGAATTCTTGAAATTTGTTCTTTGAATCGTTCTTTGAATCGTTCTTTGAAACGTTCTTTGAATCGTTCTTTGAAACGTTCTTTGAATCGTTCTTTGAATCGTTCTTTGAATCGTTCTTTGAATCGTTCTTTGAATCGTTCTTTGAATCGTTCTTTGAAACGTTCTTTGAATCATTAATTTTGTGGCTTAACGTGAGCGTCCGACAATCACCGACAATCAATCAATGGTTAAATTCTTGCATAGATTTCCACTATCGTTGGCTTGTCTAGGGTTTTTGAAGCAAGTGTATTTACAAATTTCAACTTCTTTAAACTTTAAGTAAAAGTTTAGATCAAATCAAATTGCAAATCAAATTGCAAATCAATAAAGAAAACGTTTTCCCAGCTGTAACTCCAGTTTACGAACTGTTTCTAGAAAGAGAAAACAAGTTAGTTTTGAAGAAGTTTGCTGAGAAGAAAACCTGATCGCTTAGATGATTTCACTAAAAAAAACACTCCTATTCGTTCATTTCTCTCTCCATTTACCCCTCAAAGCCAAAAAAAGCCTCAAAACGTTCCACTTGATCGTTGAAAAAAGGAGAGCATTTTTGCATGGCTCTAATTACACATCGCAGATAACAGCACTCATTTCTATGCAGGTTTACTTGGGTAAACATTTGTATTAAATAGTTTAAATGTTAATTAGCGTCTGGAATCTTTTGAACGCTTTTTTCTTTGAAAGCTTTGAACGCTCTACGCTTTTTTCCAAGCAATATAAAGATCAACAAAGTCTAAGTCGGTTAGACTTAGACTTTGTTGATCTTAGGCAAGCCCAGCCAGCATTTTTATATCCATTCATAAACCTTACAATATTCCATTACAATTCCATTAAACTATTCCAATCGATTATTGTAAAACTGCTTCATTCCCATTGTTAAGGAATGAAATGAAGAAAGAAATGAAAAGAAATTCAAAGATTCAAAGATTCAAAGATTCAAAGATTCAAGCTAATTGGAATTGTCGAACGTGCTCAAGCGAAGATTTAAAAAGTTTTAAAGTGTTAATAAGTTTAAATCCATTTTGATCCATTTGCTTACTAAATTGATGCAAAAGAAATTTCGATCCTTATAAATGTTTGATTTTTTAATCTGTAAATCTTATTTAATTTTTTTTGTATATTTGTACTCTTGGATATTTACTTTATTTTTACTCTTTTTCTAAGTCAGAGTTTTCACTTTTTAATTGATATTAGCTTTAGATTCTAAGTCAGAGCTTTAGATTCTATTGGGTTGGGGAGAATGAGTCGGCGCCGAAAATCAAAAAAATGTCTGAAACTTCTATTCGACTTCGTCAAATAATATGCGTTTGATACTCATAGAATGGTTAACTAATTCTCTACAAAATGACATTTAAAAGAAAATTCAAACAGCGCCTCCGCTCAAGAAAAAGCCATTTTTTTCACAAAAACTACAAACTGTGATCTAGAAAAAACCATTGGTGGGATCTTCCTGCAAATTTGGCAACTTAAGTAATTGAATGTGCTCTATCTTTTTTATATAAACACCAAAGAAGGTTTATGTGAAAGAAACTGTTCAAATGATGAGTCGGACTCTTTGCCATTTTAACCAGCTGCGTTTGGAAGCTCATAAACTCCACGAAAGAAAAGCTTTGTGGAATCTCTCAAAAGTGATTTTGTAGAGAAATAGTGGATCCTTTTGATGAAACCAAACGTATGTTTAAAGAAGGCTTTATGTGTGCAAAAAGTCCCTTTAAAGTTTGGCGCCGACTCATTCTCCCCAACCCAATAAATCAGGGCTTTAGATTCTAAGTCAGAGCTTTAGATAGGTGGAGTCGCGTTTCGATCAGCCATATCTTGCTTCTCAAGTCGAAAAGAAGCCATTTTTGAGAATATCTTGACGATGGACGAGAAGTGGATTCACTTCGATAGCACTTATCGAAAAAGACAATGGCTCAGCAAGGGTCAAATGCCAATTCGAACTCCAAAGCCGGATTATCATGGGCACAAAGTGATGTTGTCTAGTGGAACAACAACGGGCTTGTTTATTTCGGATTATTAGAGCCCGAAAAAACAGCTGATTCACCTTATTTTATTCAACAACTCAAGATGGTTGACGAATTTTTGCGTCAAAAGGTTTTAATTCCCTCGACTCTCAATTTTCCCCGACTCTGTCAACGTGCCAGCTCAAAAGCGAAAGCTTGTATGAAGTTAGAGGAATTAGGATGGAAGGTCTAACCACATGCGTCATATAGTCCAGACTTATTATCATTCACCTCTTCAGATCAATGCAACATTCTCTTGCGAATTGCGAGTTTAAGAATTCGAGTCGAGAAGAGGTCGAGCTTTGGGTGACCGACTACTTTCAATCACAGAATCAAGAGTTCTTCGAAAAGGGGATCCGTAATCTGAAGCGACGTTGGAGGGATGTTATAGATAACGATAGGGCTTATCGTTTATTACCGCCATAGACAACGATAGTGCTTATTGCTTAGAATAAATTATTACCTAAAGGGATTTCGATTTAATTTAAAGGGGGGGGGGGTATTAATCGCGGCCGGGTGACCATAAAATTTTTTTTACGCCAACCACCTGTTTTTTTATTTTAATATCGCTGATTTAATTATAAAAAGAATAAAAATCACCCGGCTAGAGTGATTTGATGGGTTTACAACTTTTTGGAGACGTTGCAAGGCTTGGAAAAAAAACAAGATCGTCACTCAGACACCTCAGCACAGTCTAGATCGATCGAGTTTTAATTGCAGATAAATTTAAAAACAAAATAAAAAGCACAAAAAACAATACAAATAAGTTGTTAATCTATAATTCTTCCTCTTGCTCACTTTCATCTTCGCTCAAGTACAGCAGTTTCTCAGATTGGCTTCCTATCTTAGTCAATTTCCAGCGCATCCTCAACAGAAATGACTGGATCTCCCCCATCTTCAGCGCTTTGATTGACGCAATTAGAGCTTTTTTTTCCATTCGATTGTGGTTTTCTTTTGTTTCCTAACATAAGTTTTCTTGGCTTTCGAAAAAACAAGAGTATTTAGAAAACCATAAGCTAGATTAGCTTAATGATCTTTTGCATTATCTAAAAATAAAATCTCCATCTTGAAAAAGGCATCTAGAGATGTTAAAAACCAAAAATGTAGATCGAAAGGCTAAAGAAAACAAAAAGAAAACATAATGCCTGACTTTTGCTTTACTTTCGCACTTACCTTGTAGATGAACTACGCGAGCCTTGCAGCGTCTCCAAAAAGTTGTAAACCCATCAAATCACTCTAGCCGGGTGATTTTTATTCTTTTATAATTAAATCAGCGATATTAAAATAAAAAAACAGGTGGTTGGCGTAAAAAAATTTTATGGTCACCCGGCCGCGATTAATACCCCCTTTAATATTTGTAAAAACCCAAAATTTCTTTTGCATTAACCTAGTATGCTTATCCAGATTTCTGCTTTAGGTTTTAGAGGCTGTAAACTGGCATTAGCTTGCAGTAAACTGGCATTAGCTTTGTTTCCAATGGCTAACATTTTGGCTTACCTTACCCTCGTGCACTAGTCAAAATCGTGGTGTTTCATAGTTGCAACTTACTCATTACATTCCCATTGTCACCCTTGTTGCACCCTTATTGCATTGTCAAATGGTTGTCAAATGCTTGCTTACTCACCCTTTCCATTC